GGATTTGGACCCCAATGACAAGAGAAGTGTGATCACATGATTTAGATATGGTGATGTCAGGTTACAGAAGAAAATATCCAACCTGAATTTATTAGACCGTTTCATAAATGTCAGTAAAAGAAAAAAGAAAAACACAGGAACAAAAAAACCCATGGATATAACTGCATCACTTCTTCACATTTAAACTGCGGTGGTTTCTCACTGCTGTTACTCCAAATTCCTTTAAAAACCCCAGCATGTCACTCTCCACCCACAACTCATGCTCAACTCTATATATTTCAAATCATGTATTTTTTCACTTCCACCAAGATTCCCTTTTTATTACCTCTCATCCTTTGCACAGAGTGTTTCTCCTGCTAAAAGTCCTTGCCCAAAATTTTTAATCTAGATAAATCATCAACAGTTCTCCAAATTTCAGTTTGTCACTTTTTCCAGGCATTAGTTGTGGGAGACCAACCTCACACGTGACTGAGTTAACTCCCCTACTGGGTGATGTGGCAATGTGGTGTCAGGCACCCATGCTGCTAGACTGCTCCATTCTTCTAGGGTTCAAGTGACTGTGTCTGGGCTCACTGCCCCATGGGTGGAGCTATGCTCACCTGTTCCTTTGTAATATAAGGCCTTGCCCTGTTTAGGATAGAATGTTCCATGGAAGTGCCTTATATGTGTCCCCTTCTATTACTGTGCCCTTGGGTGTGGCCTACCTAGATGTCATTCAACTTGTGACAGTGGACATCATGAATCTAGACTCAGCCCCCCAAAACCTGACCCCTTGCCTCATTTGAATAGCCTCTCCTCAATAAAAGGGGTCAGCACGTGCTTAAGGTCAGGGGAGCCGTCACAGCAACCCCAAAGAAAAGGGTTTTTTGTGTATCTTGTGTGGTTATTTTGTGCAGTCCAGTTTTCCCAGTTCACCTAGAGTGACCCTGAGCCTTTTAATTTCGAGAACAAAACCCAACAATTATTTTTTTCACTTCCACCAAGATTCCCTCATTCAGTGTCTCCATTCAGTCATTAATAAATATTTATTAAGTGTCTAGTATAAGTAAAGAATTGTCATAGGTGCTTGAATATATACAATAAAAATACACAATTTTCTTGCCTCTCAGGAACACAGACTTCCATAACACTAATCACATTAAGACTATAATTACATATGTAGTCATCTTTCCTACTCAGACTAGTAATTAGCTAGCAACCATGAGCTAAAACCAATTTAACTATAATAATCAATTCATAAAACATTAAGTGAATCAATACAACATCAAACAAATGTTTACTGAACACTGATTTTATGACAGGGAGGACTACAGTCCTCAGCTTAGCTAGACGATCCTAAAAGATTTCAAAGAATTAGCTTTAATATCATCTTAAAAGAATGGTAGCTAGGAAGTCAGAGGACTACTATCTTTGCAATTATTCACCTTACCTCAAACCAATCATTTATTATTTCTGAACCTTATACCTTTAAGTATAACACTGAAATAACAGAAGACATTCACAGTATTATTTATTTTTCAATGGGTTTAAAATAAGACTTGTTTAAATAGTTTGAAAAATCAGAACCAAGATGCAGTTCAAAAAGTGTGGGCTATATTAAAATATAAACTTTAGTACATTTAAGAAAATGACTGCTGGGTGCGGTATGACACACACCTGCAATCCCACAACTCGGAGGCTGAGGCACGAGGATCACAATTTCAAAGCCAGCCTTAGCAACTAAGACCCTAAGCAACCCAGTGAGAAACTATCTCAAAATAAAATTTTTTTTTTAAATAAAAATTTTTTTAAAAGGTTGGGGATATGCCTCAGTGGTTAAGCACCCCTGGGTTCAATTCCCAGTACCAAAAAGAAAAGAGAAAAAAAGAAAGAAAATGCCAATAAATTTGGTAAGATGAACATAGAGTTAAATGAAACTACTTTATGAAATCATTCTTGAAAACTGAAATAAAAACTTTAGTTCATGTTCCTTCTGCTCATATTTTCCCAAAGACATCCTCCAATCAAAACTCTTTATTATTTTCTTCATGGCCCAACTCAAATGATGAGGAAGACACTGAAACTGAGGATAGCATATCCATCAGTCTCTCAAGAGAAAAACTAGTCTAAAAAATCAGTAGACAGAGTTAAATCAAGTAGTCTCAAAGTTAAATTTCTCTTGAACCTTAAATGAACAAGAACTTTACACCTTTCACATCCAGGTTGAAATAAAAGATAAGTTCTATATTTGGTAATTAACCTAAGAAAATCCTTGTAGGGAGAAAGAATGAACAGCAAGAGATGAAGGTCAATCTCCAACTCTGTGTTCAATTGCCATAGCAGAAGCCACATCAAGGAAAAATGACAAATCGATCCCACATCAAGGGGAAGAACCTCTCCTTGCTTTGGACTTTAGTCTAGAGGACAAATCAAGCTTCAGTCATAAAAACCCCAGGTGTCTACTAATCCAACTAGCCAAATTTCAAATACAGAATGACATCACCAGTCAAAATGCTTTAACAATTTTAAAATGCTTCATTTCTGAAGAAAGTATATTTTTATAAATATTACATTACATATCTATGATGATAATAAAAAATTTTCCAAAATTTTTTTTCAGCAGCTAGCTTCCTAAGCTATAGGAATCAAAAATGCTATCAAAGTTCTTGACTATGGCTCTTCAATTTCTTCCTCCATCATTTCTCACCTATTAGGAAATGAGTAACTTCCCTTCTTACATATGTACCAATCTCAGAGCTCTGGTGACACCATAAGTTAGTATATAGTACTTATATGTGACTAATCTATTAATATGCACTTAGTATATACAGTATACCAGGCACTGCATTTTTAAAATAAATGAGACATGAGTGGTGTCTACCTTTAAAGAGCTGACATTTTAATAAAGAAGACAACGTACTGCAATATGGCCAGGCCTACATCAAAGCTCATGAGATGATGCTTGAAACAGAATATTTGAGAAAAAACCTGACAGCCAAGAGAAGAGGTATTAGCAATTGAGGTGGAGAAGGGCGGGGTGGGGGGAGATGTGACAACTTATACTTAGTACAGGAGTATGAAATATCATACTTAGTTTATTCATCTAATTCTAGGCATGTGGCTATAGCTATAGTGAAATAATTGCATGCCATGGTATAGAGCTTACATTTTATTCTGCAGGTGATAGGAAACAATAAAAGAGACAGAGGAAGAAAGTAGCATAGAAAAGTTGGCAAGTGAAACCAGAGATTTGGAAAACTCAACAAAATTATAGGCAGAATATAAATATTTATAGTATATTCATATGATGTAGTATTACTCAGCAATAAAAAAATAATAAAAATTATAAACTATGCATATACTCACCTCAAGAATGAAAACATCATAGTGAATGAGAGAGGTTGGATACAAAAGAGTACTTACTATGTAATTTTATGTATATACATTCTAAGCACAGCTAAAATTAACTATACCAATAAAATTTAAAAGGTTGCTTACCTCAAGGGAAGGCTACTGGATTGGAAAGAGGGAAAGCAAAGGAAAGTTTCTGGGATAATAAAAGTTTTTATGTTTGGATCTGGATGATGGTTATATGTGCAAATATACATATAAGACGACATGTAAATTTTACACTATATTATGTATGTTATATCACAATAAAGAAGAAAAGAACACAATTATGGTCTAATTAAGGTCAAACAAGTTAAAACCAGTGTCATGCCAAAAGGAATATCAAACTTGTAAGTAATGAGAACAAAGGTTTTAATAGACTCCATATATTCAACTAGCAAACAAAATCTCTTTTGGACATTAAAGTACAAGTCTGGTTTATTCTCTACTTCAAGAAGATTATAATACACACACACACACACACACACACACACACACATATGTTCTTTATAATAAAAGCTATAAAAATAGAGTATTATTCCTCAAGAAAAAGAAAAACCCTGTTAACCAAAACTTTTTCTACATAACAGTACCTACCATATAAGTACTACTATAATAATTAATAAAGAATAAGAAGCATTTAATAGGATTCACATAAGTATTCTTTACACTAACAATATACTTGCTATGATTAAATCAAAGATTGAAATTACACTGGTACTAGGGATTGAATCCAGCAGTGCCTTGACACAGAGTCTGTATATTGCAGAGAGTCTTGCTAAATTGCTGCAGCTGGCCTCAACTTGAGATCCTCTTGCCTCAGCCTCCCAAATCACTGAGATTACAGGCATGCAACAGTGCACACAGCTCATTATAGACTTTCATTTTTTAAGCAAACATTGAGATCAACAAATCTTTGGCAAGTTAGACAAAGACTAAATTAATTGCAATTATATCAATATATTCTTTTCACTGAATAGCCAATAGCCATATTCATTTATTGATGATAAATATAATTTTTAGCATTTCAAGAGCTTAAATTATTAAAAAGCATTCTTTTACATGCCAGGTCAAAAGTGTATAATAAAAATTCAAAATTTACAAAGTCAAGACTAATCAGAATGCTACATTTCTAGAAAAGTCCTTCAGTAAATATGCCCACAAGAAAAACATTAAAGGAATAATTTACAATTCTGAACATTAACAGAAGTAACAACTTGGAGAATTTCATTAACAGAAATAACAAAGTAAAATTCATGGAAGCAACCAAAAAGAACAATGAAGCAAGCCAACAAATTTTACACTGAATGAAGTGTTCCTTCATAGTGGCTAAGCCAAACACCAACTTGATTTCCTAACATGTTAGAAAAGTCACTGGAAATCTGTATGCATTAGAAACCCTGAATGCAAAAAAGAAGGAAAACTAAAAATTTAGATCCATAATCTGATGGTTGCTTTTTAGCACCTATCAAATCAATGAGATCAAGTCAATTTGTCAAAGTCAACATATATTTCAAAATTTTATTAAAAATTCCATTGATTCTGGACTTTTGAAGATATATTTTTAAAACATAAATGTTTTATGTTATTTCTACTTCAATATGTAATATTTAAAGTAGTCTTCTACTTACCTAGATTTTGTCTTATTAACATCTTGCTGCAAGAACAATCTCATCCGAAATCAAATCCAATCTGAAAAAATACACGTAAAAATCATCATTTAGGATTTTTTTTGTTTATTTGTTTCAGGTATGAATAACTACATCTACAATACCCTATTCTTTTAAATTAAAATCTGCAAATAAACTTATTTTCTTGATAAAGCATTGAAAACATAGTGTTAACTAAAACAGGAACTTGCTAATAAATACCTTTTTAGAGGAACAATAACCTATTCACAATGAAAAATTTCCTAGTTTTCTTTTTTAAAATTTCTGTAACAACTTGTTTTCATTAATAGTTTGGCAATTATAATAGTTAAAATCAGTAGTTATTTCTCTACTGAGAACTTGGTTCCAAGACCCCTTAAGGATACCAAAATCTGCAGATGCCCAGGTCCTTTATATAAAATGGCAGTCTTTCTATATAACCTACACATATTCTTCTGTATTTTTAAATCATCTCTACATTATATAAAACCTAATACAATGCAAATGCTGTGTAAATAGGTGTTATACTATATTGTTTAGTGATCAACAAGAAAAAAAGTATGTACATGTTTAGTATAGAAAAGTTTTCTTTCAAAAACAATTTTGATTCAGGGTTAGTTGAATGGGTGGATGCCGAATCCATGGATTGGGAGAGTGTGCTTCCTCATAAAACATACTTCAAGGTCAGAATTTATATAATACTTATACAAAACAACATCAACAAAAAAAGCTGGAGATAAAAAGAAAGTATGGCATGGCATAAAAGAATATACTTTTAGTAGTCATAATAGCTAATATTGAAGCATTAAGAACCATTATTCAGAAAATAACATATATTGACATGCTTCTGCTTCCTCAATTTAACCCTCAATCTACTATAGTGACTTCTTCCCCCAAAATCCACAGAAAATGTACTTACCAAAAACCTACCTATTCCTATTGTACCACATTTCACAAATTCTAAAAACTCAGTATATTGTTGCCTAAATTCTATTTATCTCCTGCCCTACCTGAAACCTACTTACTATTTTCAATTCTATATTCTTAAAAAATGGCACCAACATACTTATTTCCAACTGTCAATCTAAATTACTCTTAACTTTTCCATTTTCAAACTTACTATCATCTCAATTTGTCCTTTCCAGAACTATGAATGATCACTTTATAATGGTTATCCTAACATGTACTTCTATGCTTTAAGTTTTGCTTCAAATATCTACCTCTATCTACCTTCTACCTCCCTTTAACTGTGTTCTAACAGTTTTATTAGTCCTTCAATATTTACCTCAGTCACCCTGGCAGATACTTCTTTAATTCCTTCAGCTTTAAAAAATCCATTTTCTCAATTACTGTAGCAACTAACTGGTGAAACCTGCCTATCAACACTTTCTGCTTCTTTGTATATTTTCTAAACCATAGTATGAACATATTGAGGACAAGAACTCACTTATTTTGTTTCAGCATTGTCACTGGCTGGCAGATGAAAGCCTAAACAATGTGGGCTAAATAAGAGATTCAAATTTTGCTTGTATCTCAAAATGTATATAGAAGATAACCCAAGTAAAATTCAGGCTAATGAGATAAATTCACGTCTTTGAGGACTGGAGGAAAAAAGTCATTACCACTTCTGGATGTAAAAATGCTACTTTACAGCTAAACATGGTGGCATTATGCCTGTAATCCCAGCAGCTCAGGAGGCTGAGGCAAGAGGATCGCAAGTTTGGTTCTTCCAAAGCCAGCCTAAGCAACTTAGAGAGGGCGTAAGCAACTTAGCAAGACGCTGTCTAAAAGAAAAAAAAAAAAATCATTGAGGATGTGGCTCAATGGTTAAGTATCCCTGGGTTCAAACCCTGGTACAAAAAAAAAATTACTTTATGAAATAACCACATTTAAGTAAAATACAACTGACATAAATTAACCCACCACACTCTTCTATTGAGTGAATTATTTAATTTCATTGATTTTTCAGTACCAAGACTTGGGGACTAAATGCTTCTATCCCTGCAAAAAAATGGAGTTTGTGAATCAGAATTACTAGATTTATTTAAATATTAGCCTTAAGCAGAAGAAGATTAGAGAGTAAGACAAATATAGTTCTTGTATTATCAATTTAGAAAAGTGCTTCTCCAACTTTAGTGTCCATCAAAATTACCTGAAGGGCTTATTTCAGATTGCTACAGTCTGCCCCCAACGTTTCTACTTTGGTAGGTCTACATGAAGCCCATGAATCTGCATTTCTAGTAAGTTCCTAAAGTGACACTATTTTGAGGATCACATACTGAAAACCAGAGCTAGAATTTTCTATGATGTTTAGATGAGAATATTGTCCCTGCCAACCAACGCCAGGACTGTTACTTGTTTTAAACTAAACTATAAAATCAAAGTGAAAGCATTAAAAAACCCACAAAACTCCATATAAACTGCTGAGTGTAACAGGCTGTAAATGGTCCTACAAATATTATCCACAGCCTAATCCCTGGAACCTATTATGTTACCTTATAAGAAGAAAAATGGTGGGTGGAGAGTGCTACAAGAAACATGATTAGGGAATTTGAAATGGAGAGATTATTTGAGATCATCTGGGTAGGCCTAGTTATAATCACATGTACGCTTAAAAAGGGAGGCAGCAGGGGAAATTTGATTACACATAGAGGAAAAGCAATTAGAAGACAGATCATAAACATTTGAAAATGTGGCCACATGCAGGAATATCAGCAGTCACCAGGATCAGGAAGAAGCAAAGAATGGACATTCCTCTAGAGTCTCCAGGTGAAGAACAGCTATGCCAACACTATGAGTTGGGCTCTGTAACAATGATTTCAGACTTCTGGTTCTGTAATAACAATTTCAGAACTGAGAGAGAAACCATTTCTCTTATTTAAACCATTCAGTTTGTGATAATTTGTTAGAGCAGTCATAGGAAACTAATACTAAAGATAGCAGATTCTCAAGGAAATGGATTTGAAGTACCTTTACAAAAGGTGTTAGTTTATAAACTGACTAATCTGACTAATCCCAAATTTGACTCTATTTGAAGAAAAGGCATTTCAGTAGGTAAATAAATTAGATGAGGTCAAAAAGATGAGGCCCTAACACAATATGACTGGTGTCTTGTAAGAGAGCCCAGGCACATATACACAAAGAAAAGGTTATCTGTGCAAGGATAGAGGCCTCAGGAGAAACAAAATCTGCCAAGAATTTGATCTTGAACTTCCTTCACAACTGTGAGGAAATAAGTTTCTTTTGTTTATGCCACCCAGTCAGTGGTATTTAATCTCCAAGCAGATTAATAAATGAAAAGGATACATGTAGTTGCAACAATATAAATACACTTAAAATCTATTAAAATGGTAAATTTTATGTTATGGACATTTATAACAACAAAAATAAAAGTATATATAAATGCCATATGTGCACATAAAATAACTTAGCTTTATAACTTCAGCTATACTAATATAAGAAAATCTAAAAAAAACTTTTAACCACATTTGTTCCCCCCAAACCAAACAACCATGTTTTAGACACATTTTTTAAATTATTATTTATTTTTATTTTTAATCAACAAATAGTAATTGTATATATTACATATTTATGGAGTACAATGTGATGTATTGGCATGATTTTACATTATGGGATAATTAAATTACACTACTTAACAAATCTATCCATTCAGACTTACAAATTTTTGTTGTAAAACATTTAATACCTAACTTTAGCAATTTTAAAATATACAATGCATTATTACTGTTACGATTCTGCGCAATAGATTATGAAAACCTATTCTTCCTAAAAGAAATTCTGTACCTTTTAATCAACACTGCCCCTTTCCCCATTCAGTCCTCCAATTTCTACACAGCATGAGCAAACACCAATTTATTCTTTATTTCTAGGTTCAACACTTTTAGATTCCTCATATAAATGAGTTTATGAGATATTCGTCTTTCTGTGCTGACTTGTTTCACTAAGCATTAAGTCCACTAGGTTCATCCATGTTGCTGAGGATGACATAAATTCCTTCTTTCTAAAGGCTGAACAAGCACTCTATTGTGTATACACATTTTCTTTATCCATTTCATCCAATGATGGATAGCTGGGTTGCTTCTATGTCTTTGTTATTGTGAATAATGCTTCCATAAACACAAGCAAGCAAACAACTCTTCAGCATACTGTTTTCAATTCCTTTGGATTTATACCCAGAAGTGGGATTATTAGATCATATGTAACTCTATCTTTTGTTTTCTGAGAAACCTCCATACTGCTTTCCATAAGGGCTAGTTATTTATTTATATTCCCACCAAAAATACACAGGGTTCCCTTTTTTCCACACTCTTGTAAATACTTACAATATCTTTTTGATAATAACAATTAGACTTTTTTAAAAGAATCTTCTAGGTAAGTCTGATAGAAGTACTGTAAAATCCACACCTAAAAAATATTATTAGAATATTACTTAGGTGGACACTGGGAAAGGGGTCCAGAAAAGAAGAAAACATTTTAAGTAGTTGGTACTGCTGGGTTTATCCAGCAGGATTTTAAGAGAAGACCTGAATATTAAAATATCAAATATATCTTCCCTAAAACCTGAAACCACAGCTAATCATGAGAAAAACATAAGACAAATTCCAAGAGTTGAAAAATCCAACAGTATATCTGACCAATACTCCTCAGAACTGTTAAGGTCATTAAAAACAAAGTCTTGACGGACTTGAGAAATGTCATATTTGAAATATGACATCTGAAAACAGAAAAAGAATATTAGGTAAAAACTAAAGAAATCTGAATAAACTATGGTCTTTATTTAATAATAATGTGAAAATATTGGTTCATTAATTTTAGCAAATGTACCATACCATTGTAAACTATTAATCATAGGAAAAAATGGAGGTGAGGGGAATGTATGAGAACACTATACCATTTTGCATAAATTTTCTGTTAAGTCTAAAACTTTAAATAAATAAAGTCCATTAATTTCAAAAATATTTAAGTATTTTGAAGAGACATAAACATACTTTAAAAAATGAAAGTGAAAATTCAAAGGATTTC